ATCCCGTCCTTTGGTATGCACTTTGCACCCACACAGTGTAAGGTCACGCTCGTGGACGTGCAGTCACTGAACACGCCACTTACAAGCGAGGGAGAGGCACTGGAAGTTGTGGAGCGTTTTACGCATCTTGGAAGTCATATCAGTTCGGATTGTAGTGTGACAGATGAGGTGAATGAACGAATCTGCAAGGCTCGAGCCGCATTTGCTAATTTGAGACACCTGTGGCGTCAGGATGGTTTATCCCTGAATCTGAAGGAACGTATCTATCAAGCTGCAGTACGGGTTGTTTCGTTGTATGACGGTGAGACTTGGCCTATTTGAGCAGCGGAACTGAGACGTCTTCATTCGACAATCGATGGTTTATCCCTGAATCTGAAGGAACGTATGTATCAAGCTGCAGTACGGGTTGTTTCGTTGTATGACGGTGAGACTTGGCCTATTTGAGCAGCGGAACTGAGACGTCTTCAGGTGTTCGACAATCGATGTCTCAGAACCACAGCTTGCGTGGATTGGCGTAACCAGAGAGGTGGCCAACCCATGACTTGGTAGAGGAGTATGAAGGAGATCTAGAAACGCTTGGGTACTGTTGGTTCTACTCGCTTTCTAGGATGGGGTCCGCGCGATCCTCACTGTGTCTGGTTGGAGACACTACGAGATATGGCTGCCAACCGATGTCATTGGCGTTTTTGTTGTCAGTTTCTATCCAGATTGCCTGGGTGAATGTTTGGAGGTGTAAGCACCTCGGAATGACTGTGGTAAGGTATCACTAAGTCCCTCCCCCATCCACCTTTACTCTTTTTTTACAATAAGGCTTCCAAATAAATCATGGTTGTACGGCAGTGAAGCATTGTTGTTGAGCACTGATGTCATGCTGNTGATGATGATGATGATGATGATGATGATGATGATGATGATGATGATGATGATGATGATGATGATGATGATGATGAAGGAGATGATGATGATGGTGATGATGATTATGATTGACGATGATGGTGGTCGGTACACGTGCAGCTTTGAACGGATTAAGTCTGTACCAATCCGGTGAGCAATAATGGGGCTCGTGATCGAATGATTGTCTATCCCCCTCCTCCCCTATTCCCCCTCCTCCATCACACTCGATGGATAAGGAACAACAAACCCGTCCGGGCAACCCATTTTTTAAGATAGGCCTTCTATTACAAATTCTCTAAGCTTTGCGGTGTACTATTTGATGGGATCTCATGAACTCTTCTTGCACAAGAGTTGTTCGGGGATGAATATGTGAAATGAGGTATAGTGATCATTCCCAATTCATCTGGACGGTCTTTGTTGTAGGCCCGAGAAGCGGGCATTTGCCACACTTGTGAGGTTTTCACTTTCCTACTGATCGGGCGGAAAACTGTTTGTGGTGCTGAGTTGTCCCCAAGGAGTATCGTACGTCCCAACATTCGCTGGCAAGTGGACCTTGTTGATATGGTTTCTGCTGCACAAATAACCTTAGTACCCAATGTAGAGATATGAGTGCGAGTGACACACTACTCACACGTCACTGATAAACAAGAGATTCAACTGAGTTCCAGGTGAGTCGCTCGAAAAACCAAATTTGTTTGAAAATGTGTATACTGCGCTAAGTTACTGGCTAGTCTTCGACGAAAAGCTTTCAGTAGCCTTGTGAGTAGTGTGTTACCGCTTTGAAAGATGAATGCCCTCTCTATAGCCCCATTGTTGAACCCTGAAATTTACAATTGGTGTAATTGAAAACAGTCGAGAAAACTGCAATACTGCCATGACAGCATTCTGGAAAAAGTGTACAACGCAAATGCTTGGAGCTATGACTGTACTTGTAGCAGGTCTCTTATGCTCAGGACTGTTTATAATTTTCTGATGACGGTTTGGTGCATCCATTGGTCATCCAATCGATCGATGCTTTAAAACGTCGGTTTAATCAATATCGACTCACGTGCCAGTCCCTCCATCATGCGTTCCTAAACTTTGGTAGTAGAGTTAGAAAATGGAGTAAATTGGGTACGGAATGTGACTTGACGGCCTTGAATTTCATTTCGATAAGGTGTCAATTGCCTCCAATGACCTATCACATGCATTCGTTGACCTTATCACTTCAAATTGAATGAGCATTATTCCGATGTTAACCGTTGATGACTCTTACAGCGCAAGTTAGGCGCCACGTGCTTAGCTTATCCACAGCGTGCGTAATTTTTTGCTGTTGCTGCACCAAAGTATCGAAGCATGGACGGGTAACATTCACTCAAGTTTTCGCGCATATAGGCCAACAAAACAACTATTTGCTCGTTTCCCGCAGGGCATAATCTCCGCATGACTCCTGGTCCTTGCAGGTAGCGCTGGCCGCACACACACACACACACCCGCATCATAAATAAATCATTTGGCAGGACCTGCTACCTAGCTGTGTGTGTGTGTGTATGCGGGCGCGTTTGATTGCTTGATTGGCGGTGGTGTGCGCCTCAGGTGTTCGTCGGTGCTAGGTGGCCGACTTGACAGCTGGGCATGAAAGAATGTGCCAAATTGGAACAAACTGGGAAGCAGTAGGCCTAAACCAGTTGGACAGCTGGAGATTAGCTGACGGTCTTGGCTTGATCGTTTGTTTGCGCGTGCCATCAAACGTGTTGTTAATCCCCCGCAGCTAAATGATCGTCGAATCGTCTCCATGACAGCCCGGGTGCACCTTGTAAAATCGCTCTTGTTTTCATGGCAGTTTGATCGAACAGTTGTGGGTTGAATAGTTCCTAAGCACGGACTAGTTTGCTGGCCGACATAATTCTGAAAGACCGCGCTCTCTACAGTGATGCCCCATCATTGGACGCACCCAAGAAATGGAGAAAATCGTCCTCTTCTAGGGGACTTTCACCATGGCAACTATTGATACTCCACATAGAGACTCAACATAGAAGGGAATCGTCATCATCATTGTCAGCTGTAATAACCGCGTACTTGTCGTACAGTGGTTGTACCCGCCACAGTTTGGTTCACCGATGATTTGGGGAGGTGGGGTAGGTAGCTGCCCGTCGGAGCTGGCTGGAGCCGATAAATAAGTGCGTAACTATCTGTGAATGACCTACAATAGCCTGCCGTGAACCATTTGTTTAACTTTAAGTGTTCTCTTCGTTGACACTAATAAGTTGATTGTATGTGAACAAGGTCAACCTTAGCGAATATACATTCATTTGCAAACTAATTTGGTTTTTCGAGAGACTCACCTGGAACCCAGCTGAATCTCTGGCTTGTGACGTTCTCAGCGTACTATTCATAAGGTTGCTGAAAATCCGTCGACAGCCCACGACCGGTTTCGCCCTTCTTGGGGCTCATCAGGTAGGCGCAGTCCCCGAGTTTCCGTCAACCTTATGTTCTACTTGAAACCAAATTGTACGGAATCAGCGAATGTACACTCATTTGCAAACTAATTTGGTTTTTCGAGAGACTCACCTGGAACCCAGCTGAATCTCTTGTTTGTGGTGTTCTCAGGCAACTGAATGTGCTGCCTACCTGATGAGCCCCAAAAACGGGCGAAACCGGTCGTGGGCTGTCGACGGATTTTCAGCAACCTTATGAGTAGTACGTTACAAGGTCAACTTATGTCCATGTTAACTTATGCTACATGCCATCATACTGCGATTTAATCACATCGCTCCAGTGTTCCTTGTTTCATCGACATGAAACATGATGAAACTGGAAAAGGTTTGTGAATCAGTGCGATACCGCATATCAGGTGTTTATATAGCAGAGGATCGGATGCTTCCTGTAACTGTGGTTTTAAGTAGAAAATCAGACTGACGGAAACTGGGGAATACGCCTACCTGATGAGTCCCAATAAGATCGAGACCGGTCATGAGAAGTGGATGACTTTTCAGCGACCTTACGAGTAGTATGTTACTTCCTCATTTCCTGTCGAATGTGATCACACCCCTCTTTTAAGCACGGTGGGCGATCAGGCAACACGTGAATCTTGAGTTCACAGTAATTTGAGCGGACGTAAAAGCTTCATGAGTCAGTCAGTCCCCAGGTCAAACACTAGAAACGGATCTATTTGTTCACCAGTAACCGGCCAGAAGTGACGAAGAAGGAAATGGCTGTCAAGCTGGACGGTTCACTTGAAGCTTAACGACAGCAGTCAACCCCAAAATGTGCGTGTCGATGATGATCGTGTAACGGTGATACTACTGATGGTGAGGCAAGCGAGTAGTGTGTGTTTTTCATGGAATTTCGCTTTGCGTCTCTCGAAAAAGGGGAGATCTTTTGCGCAATCTGTGGAGTTGCTTTGTAACATTTGCTTGGATTTAAGCGATGAATGATTGCAGTTAATGAATATCCAGGATAGTTCAAGAAGACGCGTTCAGGAGAAGACGGATGTCCAGTTTTTGTAGGTAAGATGCAAATGAGAGTTTTGCTTCCCTGTCCAATGTCTGTAACGGTTCAGTTGGCATTTTCTAATAAGTAACTCCGCAGCGAAGGCTTTCTTCCTTTCATTTGAAGTTTGTTATCACTTTCAACTTAACCCTGAAGTTACGAACTAGGATGAATTCTCAATGCCCCTTTTTTTAAAAAAAACAGTAGGTGTAAAACCGCGTAAAAACCGCGTTTTATCGTTAATTGAATTACTGATGAAATCACAAAAACACGTTCTTAAATATACTTATACTAACTGGGTAAACATCTGCCAAAGCGATTCAAGTCCACCTTCCTAACGAGCGGCAGAGAGAAATGGTTCCTCAGTTGGAACAGTTTATGACTCTCTGCCGTCGCGTACGCAAGCATAAGCACCGTGGATCACACCATTTTATGAGTTTCACTCAACTAAATCAATGCATTTTAATTAGCTCAACTCAGGCATTCACATTGTTTATGAGGACTGTGAAGCGAGCTCAGTCAAGGTGGGAGTTGTTGGGCAAATTTGATTTGTTCAATAACATTGTTCCCTGTTGTCATGAACAACCAATGGCTTCTAACAATGCGTGCTTACCAAATTTGTTCGCTTCAGCGGTTTTGTAATCTAGTTACAGCGTGCTTGTCGTGGAGATGAATATCGTCCCAAACTAGTGGTTCCACTATTCAAAACTGCCATTCAAGTTGCCCGCGCGCGCGCATCCATATACTCTCCAGCGACGCGTGAAAAAGCGGTCTTTACCGGCTCTGACCACTTGGACAGTACTCAAGTGTTACAATAAAGAACTACTTACCAAATTCTGGGCGTTTGTTTTGGCCAGGAAGGTAACTGACAGCCCACGGTTTCCGGAAAAATCCAAGCGGATTTGGAGCGGTTCATTTCGGCACCTTATAGACCTTTACTCCAGGCTCTTGATGTCTGGCGTCAATTTTGAACACCATGAGAGATGGGAAAGGCACGTCAACCTTCATGTGTTTGTCCAGATTGGTTGCTAATGAGCGGAACGATAGAAAGTTAAAGTAACGCTTGTCCACGAAGGGAAAAGTTGTGAAGTTACCCGATCATTACGCAAGTTGTGTTAGGTTAAGTCAGGGGAACCATGTGGGAGACCGGTTGTTAAGGTAGTCTCTTCCGGAATTGATTTAGTAGAAGTGGAGATTTGGAATAGAGAGAGTCAATGGACGGTACGAATCAATGTGAATCCAGGTGTACACTTGTGACGCAAGGCTGCGTCCGCAATGGCTCATTTGGTGAAGCTCTTGATCAGTACTCAAGAAATCGCTGGTTCGAGTCCCGCTTAAGAGACTGTGTCTAATTTAGTCCATACGCAAGGTCCTCGGGAATATCTATGCACGCCACAACCACGATATGGCACCAATGTCATTTAGTTGATCAGTAATCCAATAAACAGTCGAATCGATAACTGCTTTGACTAGAGTCAAGTGTTATAGGCTAAAACTGCTCTTCCGTCAGCCTAAAGTTGTGAGGTGGTTGCGATTTTAATGAGTCCTTATATAGGGGAACAGAGCAATAATGACTTTATCCATGACTACGTCTCGGTTCATTTTTTGCGGAGTAAGTCCCAATCGAACCGCATATACCACATGATCAGTGTTGTGACGGATAGAATCGATGTCTGGGCTCAATTTGATATACAGCGATGCTTTGCCGTATGTATCTGCGCATCACTCCGACCAGCTACTTCGTGCTGTGTAAGTTAACATCACTCACACACTCATTAGGCATGCATCTTGATAGTTACTTCATGTTTTGTTCCAATCCGTTCTTGCATTCCTGTGGTTCACCCATCAGGCAGAGTAAATCCTGTTAAGTCTAGTGACAAACACTCAAACACGCAAATTTCGAAATCACACTTTGTTAGTTAAGCTGTTGATTCCTGTTGGGTTCTGACTTATCGATCGCCAAGTTTGTTCAAGTCAGAGGTTCGATAAGTAGTGTTAGTCGTTTCATCCTGCGCGTGAGAACTGTTCAATCTCAGTGAAGCATGTGCGTAGGCAGTCTGCACCGGTCTGGTAGTGTCACTTCTACCCAGTTCCACTTACAACGCCCTGATGACGTTTTCAAAAGAGTTTCCATTGGCTGTGCCAATAGAACTTACACGGGTTGCTTTCGGCACTCCAGCGCAACTGAACAAACGTCTACTTTACTCCATTCCGGAAACTGTTTTTTAACCATATTTTGCGGGAGGCTTTGATAAACTGACAATTCATTACCAGATTAAGCTTTCACAAAGTTTCGGACAAGCGAAAAGTGACAATACGTACAGGATAAAGTTATTCGCCAACCAATACACTTTCGGCGAGATCCTACTTAAACAACGGTAGTCAGTGAAGAGTGAGTGAGGAGGATATGATCTGTTCACTTATTCTCACTCTTATTCAAGATAGAGTACTTGAAAGCGAACTAAACACAGACACGAACCAAATGAGACTTTTCTCTTCCATTGATAATCAGATTCAGGCAGCTGCTGATTAGAATATGTAGAATTTCAAATCAGCTCGCCAGCTGCTCGAATCGGATTTGCGAGCAAGTCGAACTAGGCTGATCAGCTGACAACCTGCAGCCAGAAGTCACGTGACTGACTTGACCTAAAATAAACTGATGTGACCAAACAAAGCCCAAATAAATATTGTTTTAAGAGTCGGTCATACATTCCTGACTTGGGATGTACACTGTAACTGTAAAAAATGAACCGAATAAGATTCGCGAATGTCTCACTTCCCTAGGTTACTTTTGAACACATCTTGTGAAGCGTGACACAGTAGTTTCCACTGAAACCTAAGTCTGATGACTAATCACGCTGGGGAAATCTCAGTAATGAGGATTTCGAACTGCTGACCTGACGCCTTTTTCTGTGATTGGCAGAATATGAGCCCTGATGTCCAAGAGAGTCAGCTCAATCAGGTTAACTTCGATGATCTGAGATGAATCCCAAATCAGAGGGCGGTAATATGCTGGCGG